CAATGCCCAGTCACAGGAGAATCCCTCAAACCCCCAAATGCTGCCAATCAAAATTGGGCCAAAGTCAAGTCCCAAATCCCAAAGTGTGACCATCAACAGCGAGATGCAGAACCCCAGCAGAAGGCCTGAAGTCTTGCCTCAAGCCTGAAGCATGAACTCTAGGCCTAGAGCCTTTAAGCCGAAAGCTCTAGACCACACCGCTGAAGCGGAGCCCGAAACCCTTCTGCTTGAGAGTTTCTCAAAAACGGCAACCTCCGCCTCCTGGAGTATCTGCGGATCTATGCAAGGTTGTAGGGAGACTTTTTAGCGGCTGAAATATCAAGCTCTCAACGCTGTACTACGCAAACCTTGAAACGTCTAGTATTGAAGTAAAGCCTACGTGGCGATGATGATTGCAAGACTTGTTGTCGGATCACCCGTTCAGGGTTTCAGTGCTGCATTACACTTCACTACAAGAACCTGTCTTTGATGTGCTTTGTATTTCGCAACTTTGCAGTATTTGCCCTTCACCCTTGCCCCATGCCTCCAGCAATGGCTCGCAGCTGAGGGATGGCCTCAGCACCTGCAAAACCGTGAAAATTGATCGGGCTGGGCAAGTCTGACATGGTGATTGTGGCTTCAGCCTTTTTGCTTGTCGGGGGCAAGGTACAGCAACTATAAGTGCCAGGAAAATGGCGTAGCATGGCGCTGGAGCTGATGAACTATCAAGGTGTTCAAAAGCGATTATGTGTTCTTCGCAGTGAGAAAATGTAACAAGGAAGGAAGGGGGATGCAGCCATGCTGCAACATCTTTGACCAATAGGCCCGATGCATCAAAAATATTCGAAAACAAAAGGTCCACCCCGCAGTCTTGAGACTCAGCCGCCTTAGCAACTCCACTGCTTCAGGTCCCCTCACAGGCGCATCCCAAGGCTGGGGTCCAAATACACCCTGTGCTCAAGATGATTGTTTCGGGGCAAGGCCAAGTCAGACACAGCTCTGAGTGCGGAGGCCTACTGCAGTTTGCAACTGTCACTGAATGCCAAGTAGGGCCAGCCTCCATAAATGGCGCAAACGCGTGCGCCCGACCGAAAGGTCAGCCTCCAAAGAGAAAGACGATCGCTCAAAGCTATGAAGCAGCTACGTTGCTTCTCACAGCCCTGGGCTCTTCTTGACTGTATTTGTTGAGTTTCAGAGGTCTGTCAATACGCCATAAGCCGATGTCAAAAAGGCATGCCAACCCAATGCACGCTTTGCCCGATCAAGGCAACAAAGCAGCCGCACTCAAATGATCTCGGAGTACCTGTCTCGGGGTCCGTGCGCTTGGCGCATCTGCACTCACCAACAAATAGATGTTCGAGCGTTTGCGCTGTTGTGATTGCAATGCGAGGTTGAAAAAACTTTCCAGGCAGCCAGAGAATTTTTGCGGATACCCCGAAGCTAAAACCTCGACGGAATCTACGCAGACTACTTTCCCTTTAAGCGGTAGCGAGAGCACGGGGTTCATGCTAGTCTGGGGGAAAAATGCTGTGAATGGCTGACTAACCCCCTGCAGTGGCAATGCTGTGGCACGTGCATTTAGTGCAAGACATCTCGGGCCACTGTTGGTTGTTAAGTCACAGGCAAACTGAAGCTTTGTGGCCTTTGGCTTTCCTTTTAGCTTCAGCTCATGATTGCTTGCGAATATGGCTTTTTCCCCGTCCCAAATGATTTGGGCTCTTGTTTACTATGCAATGTCTTTGCACATGACCACTCTGGAGAGCACAGGACGCATGTTAGCTGTTCAACAGAGAACAGGAAACCATCACAGCGCAACGCAGTGGGGAACTGAACACAGAGGGCTGAGCAAGGGCCACGATTCCATCTCTTGAAAGCATAGCCAGTGTCCACTACGCTCTTGCTGAGAAGATTCTGAAAGGGGCGTTTCTGATCTCAAAACAAAGGAATCTTCCTAACAGGACCCCGAACGGAAACCTAAAACGGTGAAAACTACCGCCGGTGTCTGAAACCCTGACGTACCCGCCCAGCCTCTCAGCCTCCACAGTGATCTGCCTGGGCATTGGCGTAAACTACTAGAACCCTAATCAGCGTCGCTGGTAAGCCACTTGAGCGGTGCCCAAAACCCTAATCCCAATTTATTCCGGAAACAAAAATGCTTACGGTAGCTTACGTTTTCCAGGCTTTTGCTTACGACATGACTTTGTTGTTGTTTCTGCTTGCGCCGCTTACGCCGCCTTGCTGCAGCTGCTGCAACTGCAAGCACAAACAACACCAACAAAAACAACAGCAGCTTACCACGCTTACGGCAACAACGTTGCCACAGAATTGCTTCCGACACCTTACGAAACACAACACTTTGCTGACGCCAAACCTTGTTTCTGAGAGCCCCTGTCTTTTCTGCATAAGGAGGGTTTTGTTCCCTGCTCACTTGTATTAAGTCACCACAGCGCGTATCGCATATGATACGGTTTCCTCGTTATGGCAACTTAACTTAAGTTCCTTACCAGCATTCCAATAATGCAACAGCGCTGGCATGACAATTCTTGCCCAGCGGCTGGCAGAGCTCGCGAGTCGGCGACAGCACGACGCTGGTGGGGCACACGGCACCCGCCTTCCACCAGGAATAAAGGTTTGCAAGGTTAGGGTTTAGGAGTTCATGCAAAGCTTGGCTTTGTCCGAAAAGGCTTTTCAGCCGAGAGCAGATTCTAAGAAGCGACCGTCGCTGAGCCCACGGCATAATGTTCCTTCACGTGAATGGAGAAGTACCCAGGTTTGGAAGCAATCCAAAGACCTTTGGACCTTGAAACCTAATCCACCTAGGACCGAGCCCTAAAGCTCCCGTAGGTCTGCAATTCTTCCGGGCCCCTTTGTGGAAACCAGCCACTGAAGCCTCTTGAGCACTATTCCGCCTGCTACGGTTGCTAATCCTAAAATTGAGCAAGCCTTCCGGCGGATCACTTCAAGGCATCACCATGGGAATCTGAATTGTAAAGTCATAGGGGCTGCAGAAGCAGAATGCCTTGCTTCATCGGGTGCTTGATTCCGAAAAATTAAATCGAAGATTTCCCTGTGGTCGCCTGAAGAGTCCAGAGTGCTGAGTAAGGGGTTAAGGATCTACTCAACTTGATCCGTCACTCAGTGCATGGGGTTCCTATGTTGTGAATAATGGCATGGCCCTTGGAAGACAACACCATAGCACGGAGAATAAGTGAACGATGAGAACCATGGTCTAAAGTTGTTGATGGATTACCCCTCATGACAGGAAAGTGTCATGGCCCTCAGGTCTAGTCTAGGCTTTCAGGGCCCAATCCTTTTCAAGCGCGTTAAATCTCATCACCTGACAGCACCGCCTACAGGGCTTGCATACAACCACAAGGATTCTCAACGGAAACTTTAGCAACTTTAGCATGTACTGTTGTTCCAGGCTCCATTCATAACCACACCTTATGGTACAAGTTCTCGTTTCTGCATTGTCAAACCCTCCTCCCTGAACTCTGGCTGCGTGAGCCGAGACAAGCTTCCCTCAAACCCCGCAGAGAGCTTCAAAGCATTTTGTGGTAGGGCGGCTCGCAATCTGCCAACACTTCTCGCCATGGCAAAAACCGGAAAAACCCTTTGACTAAATGCCAGCCACACTCCATCCCGAATCCAAAAACACGTGCAATTGCCGTAAAAACTCTTGTTCAACTGCGTCAAACTCCGACCCTTCGATCTGAACACGCTGTGCTAGTCTATGTCCACAAGTACAGCCCCTTCATTCCAGCCTCCAAAACCTGCAGACTCCAAACCTTAAGACGCCTTTTCAAAGCCATGAAGGTTCCCAGATAATTTTCCTGTGTACAGGCCTGCCACCGGCCCCTTGTGCCGATTTACTTCTTTACTACATAGCCCCTGCAGATCCCATCTTCATTGTCCCCAAGTAGATCGCAGCAAATTTTCAAAAAGCGTTTGCACAGGTTCCGTACTCTGATATAATGGGGTGTTGTCTACTTTGCCTGGAAAGCACTATCCCTATTCACTATGATACAATAATAGAGGTTTTCCTATTATACTATAGTAGTTTCCATTTTCTTTTCCATTATCCCTATATTACCCCAATATTTATACCCTATTATAATAGGAGCACTCAGTAGCCTTCATCGGCTTCCGGCCCGCATTGAGCGCGGCGGTGATGATTGGGACAAGGAAGGCGGCAGTCTTTCCGCCTAAGACCGGTAGAGGCGCTTTCAAATGCAGTGGTGTTGGGCTGTCCTGTCTGTGGAAGCTCAGTGCCTGTGAATTAGATTCAGGGATTAGGACTCATTGGGTTTTGAACTGTTACGTCAGTGGTTCAAGTGTTGTGCCTTGGAAAAAATCCATTTGGTTTAAGTTCAGTCATTCATCGATGTGGCTAGGCGAATATACGCAAGCCTATCGGAGGCCATACTTCTACCGTAATTATCACTCTGCGGGGTGAGGTAAGCCCTGCGGTGGTACTTCTGACCTGATCTTCCCATGATCGCGACAAGCCTAGTGTATCTCTCAGAGCCGGCCCCGCTTGAATCCTTTAAAGCAAGGCTAGTCAACAGCTCCCTAGCACGTGCAGCAAGACAGATCTTGATACCTCTAGATCTAGTGAGACTAGTAAAGAGCCCTCGGAAGCACCATTCTACTATACAAGCTTGCCAATGCGAGTGATGAGCTCAGCAGAAGTCTCCCACAGCCTAGAACATAACCCTGCGTCAGCAACCAGTCATGTACCCAAAGCTCTCAGTCAACGTATCAGTCTGTAAGTCCCTGAACCGTGCATGCAACTCGCTGAAGCTTTACATAGCCCAAGTACCTATGCAGCGTGGGCCTTTGATTCCTGCTGTAAGTATAGGAGCAGATAAACACAATTCGTGCAGAGCTCCCTGAAGGGCTCATGTAAGCGTTCCGCTTTGCAAGATGACAAAAGAAGGCCAATGCTCTCCACAAAGAATCCGAGTAGGAATTACATGCGTTTGGGTTTGGGCTATTGCTGATCTCTTCGGCCGAGCGGCTCCCTGTTTGTGCTGTGACGAGCACGTCACTGCCCGAGAGCACGGCAGGGATGCTGTGCCTTGGGTCTTGGGTAGGGGATTTTTTAAATGGTTTTAAACAGAAGCCTCGCCCTCGGAAATTTTGAAGCATTTGTTTTCCCAGGGCTTCGTGTGTGCTCAGTACTGAAAGAGGTTGGGGCTACGCCTGCAGGAGATGTAGATAGATGTAGAATAGAAATCTTCAGATATGAAGCCTTCATCACGCAACCAATCTCACAACCTACTTGCAACTATCAACCCAGAGTGAGATGCATGCCTCCGGGCTGAAACGACAAGGCGCTTTTGCACGGGCGTCGGGACGTTGTAGCTGCAGCGTTCGATATTTGCCGTCAGAGCTGACGGCAGGTTATACTTCTCGCAGGCCTGCAAGTGTTGGGGACTGTGTGAGAAGTGCGGGATTCTTAGGGATTGAGTCCTGACACAGATTTCAAGGCGTAGTGCTTAGGGTGGGCTAGGGAAAGTTAGGACTTCGGTGTCCAAAGCTCAGTGGTCGCAAGGCTTAGGGCGATTTCTTGACTTCAGGGTCTCGGTAGGGATCATGGACTTCAGGGCTTAGGGCTCCAGGATCTTGGGGCTCGAGTCTGCCTTCCTCTACATTCATGACTTGTCTATGCGTAGGATCATGAAAGACTGGTGTTTTCGATTGTGGTGATGATGTAAGACCATGAGATATTGCCGGGGCATACTTATAACTTGGGATTTCCCTGCCGAGTAATGAGTGCCATAAGTATACTTGCTGCCTGCTGGGTTGTTCATTAAGATTCCTGAGCCCGGCGAACCTAAACGGCGAAGACCTAAGCTTGTTGTGATGAAGCTGTCACGCGTCATACCCTCTCAATCCTTTGTATGTATACTGGCCAGTTTCTGCAAAGAATCTGGGACTACAGCGTCTTGTCCAAGGCTGCAATTCAGGGCTTGCAGCGTTTGCTGGGGCTTGGGGGCATTTCTATGCAATCCACAGTGGCACAGAAGCAGTACCCAAGGAAAGAACTAGCCTTGCCAAATCCAGTGTATTCTTAAACCGCAGCCTGTCAGCCGCACAAAACATCTAGGGCAGAGGGGGAGGGTTCATTATCCAAGGGACTAGAAAAACCCAAAAAGCTGCCGTGCAAAGACCTCTTGGAAGGTGTCGACTGGCTCTTCCTTACCAGAGCCGCCCTGGGTCTCGACCTGTGTTCCATGTGCTCAGACTCTTTACGGCATAGTAGCGAATGGAAAAGACAATTGAAGCTACGAAATCTTGGTGGTAATGATTGCTACAGGTGGTGGTAAATTTTGCGAGAGAACTAAACCTCCAAGATACTACAGCTGGGTGAGGCTTCATTTGCTTCTTTCACTTAGTTAAGATGCGAGCGTGTGTTCGTTAATTTTCCTCACTTCGGGTTTTGTCTGAGATTTTGGTTTAGCGATTAGGGTTCTAGAGGCTGGAGGAACGGGCTATTATAGCCGCATATCGTGGGACTACCATAGGGATCTATTCCCTCCCTCCCTACTAAGCATCAGGGAGCAGAGTTGTGGTCTGCAGGCTATTGGCGTACAAAGTTGATACCAGGTCAAGTAATTCCAGTATATCATAGAATCCAGAGAAATCATCGTGCTTGGGGCGAGCAGCATCTTGCCACGGCTTCTGATGATTTGTAGGCTTCAGCGGTGTCGAGTTTACTGATTTGAGTCATCTACTCGTGAGTCACGCATAAAGGACTCTAGAGGTCTGCTTTCAATGGTCCGTAGCGTCAAGCGGATAAAGGCAGAGCAGCTTTGTCTGCCAGTTTGTGGCGGTCAATGCCTGTGAAATCTGCATGGAAGAAGATAGTAGGCAACATTCTCAAAAACTTGACCCTGACAACTTCCCACGGTGTGGCCCATGAGACATGCCGCCTGATGAAAACCAAGCCACAATAGTAGGAGCCTTCTCTTGCAGCGTAATGGAACACATCCACCCCGGAAAAGGGAAGCCATCACAGCACAAGCAGATCCTTGTGACGACGCTGACATTGCATGACGACCCAAGTTACCCTCCGAGTCTTAAAAAGCCCTAGAGAAAAAATGTCACTCTTAACCCAGAGCCCCCAGATTCAACTTGTTTGAGGTAGTGTTTCCACTCCTCTATAAACCGCCCATATACTACCATCATTTGTACCAATTCATGGTCCCTGACAACTTGTAATCATGCCAGAGCCGACACAGTTCAGGATGTTATAGAGCTGCTATGAAGACATGGAAACATCTGTGTCATTAATGAACATTTCTCATACCACCCTCTTAGAATCAGTACCTCCTAGACCGACGACGAGCCTGCCATCAGGCCTCAACCTATGAATAGCTGGGACCGCAGCTTCTTGATTCTTTTTTTTTACTAGTATTCTTGCTGCAGGCATCATTGCCCATTCCTGCGCTGCTTCCCTCGGCCTCGATGGCGTCGTACTTCTGGAAGTCGATGCCAGCAGCAACATGTTCTTGCTTGAAGAGCCTGCGAAGGTCGCGTTGCAAAGTTCCGTCCTTCAATAAAGCATCTGCCTCTTGCTATGCTCATGTTGCACGCTGCTGATAGGGAATCTTGAGTGTTGAAGTAGGTAGTCCCCGAAGCTTTTTCATGGAACCTTCTTGCACCAGTGTAGTTTTGTACCTTGGACAGAACAAGGCACCACAGCGCCACAGATTGTAAGAGCTCAACGTAGCTGAATTCTGGATCTCCAACGGTAAAGTAGCGAGACCGTCTGATCCCAGCCCCCACCTATTGGCGTTGCGAAAGAACCCTGCGTAAGACTACGTACTAGCAGTACGAGTCCCTCAATTGCTGACACCCAGCCTCCCATCAGAAGCCTGTCGTGTACGCCCAGAAATGCATGCAGGTCAGTGCTTCTCCCATGAAACGAAACCAGAAAGCAACAAAGTAATGCACAGTAGTGCCAAGCTGCACAACCTCCTCACCGACCGCTTCCTATGCGACGATTACAGCAAACCAACAAACGAGCAGCACGCTCACTTGTCCTTCAGGCCGTGCAGCCATGCAATCAACACTCAAACCCCTGAACCCTAAGCCTTAAGCGTCCCGCTGCACATTCCACCCCTTAGCCTTCACAAGGTTGAAAAGACATAATTACCTGCACGTTTTATCTAGGTTCCATGCTTTTTGCACCGCGCCTTGCTTCCTGTTGCCTCCAATGCCTCTCATCCTGGGGAGGTTCTCCTTGCAAGCAGGGGCACCAAGGTTGCTTGAAGGATACAAGGGACCCAGGTGCCTGGCGAATGGAAGTTCAGTGGTAATACTGAAAATAGTTGCAATGATCCCGAGGATGATGATGATGATGATGATGAGGATGAGGAGGAGGATGGTGATGGCGATGCTGTTCCTGATGATGATGGCAAACACCATAACACATGAAAGGCAACTGCCTTCGCTTGTAAAACAATGATCAGGCCAACAATATGCATGCCTGGCTCTGACGGGGTGCTTATGGTCAGCCACTGCATGGTAACCATGGTAGGAAACGACAGTCCTTTCAGATCCGAACTCCGAACTTAAGTAGGCCAAAAGCCCGTGCGTGACAGGCCCTTCTAGATGCAGCCCCTAAATAGCGTGGACAATCATGACCAAACATCCTGTGCTCAGGTTGACAACCCCAAGCAATCGTCTTATCACGACAAGGGCCAGCAAACCGTTTGAGTGCTTGGGGAAGCTGGCCTCCAAAGCCACTCAGATTGGCGCGGGTTAAGGAGATGCAGAAACTAGGCCTGCCAAGCATTTGTCTAACGGAACCTGCCAACGCCCCATGCAACAACTCCGCTCTATTGGACATTTTCAGGATGTCCTTTGCCCCTGCAACCAAGAACAAGTGAGCAAGCTCCTCGTTGCAGGAGCGACTTCTGGTACTGGAAAAACTGCTGCGCCTTCCAGCAAGGCTTAAGCAGCTGCATTTTGGGCCCATAAAGACCCAGAATCCATCAGGCTTAGTTTTGGGCTGTCGATGCGGCTGTGTCAGGCAGACTTCAGCAAGTCAAAAAGATCTCGCCGCATGGCTCTGGCGGTCTTTCAGAAAGCCCTCAGGTAACGCTTTGCTTCTCTCCAAAAGAAGCCTCAGGCTGCGAATCAATTTTGGGTTGTAGAACTTCTGATCACGCAGGACTCTGACCAGCAGAGACTCCCACTGTTGACGTTGAGGTTTCTCCAGAACACGCACGACGTTTACAAGATGCTGTGTGCACACCATAACCTGGATCGAGGCCCATTCGCTAATTTCCGCATTTTCCGCAGACTCTGTCAGGAGATTCTCCATCAGGCCAAGCATGGCTTCCGCGATCAATTGCTTCACAAAAAGGAGTCCATCGCTGCCGTACTTGAGAACAATGCTGTGGGCGGAGTTCCTTACAGAGGCATCTTCACTCCAACACTGCACCAGCAGGCTTCGAAGGTTTGAGCCGACAATGTGACGCACATCACTTTCTGCAAAATGTGTCTTTCTTGCGCTCGCCAGCTTCATACACCACCACCGAATTTCGAAGAGCTTCACCTGCTCCACATCGAATCCCGATGCTGCCGCATTGAAGCCATTAGGACATTTGGAAGCCAAGCTAACTGTTTTAGCGAAATCTAGAATGGATTGGGACTCATCCAACCTGCCCATTTCGCACAAGTGCTCTATTAAGACCCTGGGACTGCTGGTATGACGGGATGTAAGGCGCCACTCCAGAATGTCATCCACCGTAAGGTATTGTAACAGACTGGGCAAAACCAGGTATGCCGGGTCGTTCGGATCCAGAACTACAGCGTCCATGGCCCTACAGACTGACATAGAGACTCATCCTTCATAGATATGCATTCTGCAGCGATGCCCGCTCGTCTGATCCCAAAGCGACGCTCACTGACTCCTCATGCAATTCTCGACTGAGCGAGAATCAGCGCGTTCTCGCTCCCCTCCTCCAAAGTATCCAGATATGACGGACGGAAACGGAGACTAAAGCCTGCTCCTGACTCTTAGGGCTACAGCACGTGCCGCATCAAGGGTTTGGTCTGACACATAGAAGTACTATTCCTGGTGCCGCGAACAGTGTTGAAAATAGAAACCAAGGACGACACAAGCCAAGGTTCTGCAATTTTGCATCTGTTGCTCTGTTTGCAAAATGAGTAGCTTGGAGCCTTTGACATCAAAAGATCGCAGCAGCAGCTGTTGTGCCTCAAGCTGTGCAAGTCGGCCGGAAGCAGAATTTTCCCCCAAAGTGTCCAAACCAAAGACTGCCAACCCAATGCGAAAATGGTCACATGAAGACCCATGCCATGGATGAGGACGCCTTACTCCTGTAGGCTGTAAAGAGAGTGCCTTGAGTCTTACCCGCGGATACACCTATTCACGTATTGTATTTCCTAAGGTTGCTTTGGTTGCATGGTGGTACATAAACGGGGCCCGTCGCATGAACTTGAAAGCATGGGGAAGTTCTGTACCCCAACTAGCCAAGACTAGGGAACGGTTATCAGACTCCAGCTCCCCAAGTGCACGCATGAGTTCCCTGACAGCACTGCGCTGCACAGCATGTTTCCTTGAAAGAGCTTCTACACCCAACATGCTCATGAACAGAAAGCACCTGGCCATTAACAACTGAGACCACGAATCTATAACTTTAATGCTAGGAATTCTAGATCCTTACAAAACCAGCAGCCGAACGCAAAACCAAGAGCCAAAATCACCACAAAGGCGGCCAGCTGACAGTAGTATATTTGGGTTATATTGGGACAATGGAAATAAAATGAAAACTACTATAGTATATTGGGGCTATATTGGGGTTCTATTGAGGTTATATTCGGATAATGGAAATAAAATGGAAACTTCTATAGTATGTTGGAATATGGGGATAATGGAAAATAGAATGGAAACTACACTATGTGAACTTCACGCTGTAAACTTCAGGCCCCACCTGACCTAGCCCAAAAGCACTAAGCCTCAGCCCAAAATTACCCCCTGCCATAACATCAAATCCACAAGCTGATAATTGATAACACATGCTCCCCAAATCTCCCAAATATGTTCCATGGCATGAAGTTTGGGATATTTAGTGTTGCAGAGTGGGGCAATCTGTTGTTGGGTGCCCAGACCCCCTAAAGGATCCAAAAAATGGAACCCCCTAATAATCCCCTAGTTTGCCCAATGTAATAATGGGGCTCATTTTGGGGTGTTCCTTTTGTTAGATCCTTTAGGGGGTCTGGGTGAAGGGATTACTGAAACTCGCAATTTTCCAGACTTGACGCTTCCCTTTCCTTAACATGGAAGCGGGAGAAAAGAGTAACGAGGGAGGCTTTATACAGAGCAAGGTCAGTTGTACAGCACAAATTTACGAAGAACGTGCTCCCTATCCTTTCAACTGTTGTGCTGGACCATAGCCAAAAGTGCAAGATCTCTTCTATATCAAAGCAATGGCCTCCGAGCCTCCACCCCTGGCTGGTAGGAAGCTGAATCTTGCACGATATTCCCGAATGCCACCCCATAAACAACATCTGCACAATCTCTGTATGCCTGGGCAGCCTCCGTACTCAAACTTCCGATGAACACCCCATGAACCCTACTCCTGGAAGCTTCTGGAGTAAACCTTTGCAAGGGCTGAACCTGACACCCGGAACTCCACAAACCTCAAACACCGAGTCCCCAAGCCCTTAACCTGAAGCCCTCAGCCCTAGATCCCAAACCCCCACCCTAAATCCTACTGGACCTAGAAACCCTAAGCCCTAATGTTTCTGGAAGGCTTGCCTCTCGGTTGCGCTTCGCCTCTGTAAGTCGCACGACGTCGTCGCGCCCTCCTGGAAGGGTTTAGGGCTTAGGCCTGGGAATCGAGGGTTTTGCGTTTTTAGCTTATAGCCTAGGAGACTTTCAGGGGGTTGTATTGACAGCCATTTTTTGCACTGTGATCCTACCGGTGGCGGATAGTCCGGTGATTCATGCGGGCCCTGCAAAGTCAGCCCCGAATCAACACAAAGAAGTCTTCAGGACATACTAATAACAAAGCAGGGATTGGCAAGAAAATTACCTATACACCTCCCAGTTAGCTTTCTGGCGCTGTGTAGGGCTTGCAAGGGCTGGCAGCGCGGCGGCGGGGACTAGGCTGCCCCCAACATGGACAACAGCAGAATGCACAACCGCCTTTCCAGTTACCACCTGCGTTACGCGCGCCATCACCATGGTCACGGCAGCAAACAAATGTCAACAACTTTTCATGAGAATGGGACATCCGAAGAGTTTCTGCTACTGCAACTCATCCTTCCCACTAGCCTGGGGGATCAGTTGATGAAGTCACTTCACGTTTCCGGGTGTCCTCGTAACATTTGCTGTTGTTTTGCAATTCCTCGTTCCCACTGAAAGCATGATGCAGAGTTTTCATTGCGGATTCCGGCAATGGGCTAAGCTTGTAAATTTCTGTGAGCCCTGGGCAGCTGGCAATTCGAGGTGTCATCCTATAAAGGACAGGCAATCAAATTGTGAAGCTTTTTTCTAGCAAGGTGATGTTGCCTACGCGTTGAGTTGGTGGTGGACAAAGCCCTGCCGCCTCCACCATATCCGCCGTAGCCGCCGCCTCCACCGCGCCCGCCAAAGTCGCGGCCACCGAAGTCACGGCCGTAGCCCTGCAGGTGTGAAGGCATGATTGTCAGAGGGATCTAAAGGGCCGATGACAAAATGAGATTCAGGTTGAACCGCTGAGGGTTTACAGTTGGCCTGTTCAGCACAGGTCCTAGACAGTGGAATAGAGCACAGTTCGAAGTCTGAAAACCTGAAGGCGAGTAGGGTCGCCAAGATTGGTTTGAAGTGCCATACAGAAGCAAGCCATCATAAAGCAGGTGCCCTCGCAGGACTTCCTGCCTTTCCGCTGCCCTTGCCCATGCCCTGGCAAGCTCAGCTTTTGGGTCTCAAGAATCGGAACGAGGAATGCTTAGCATGGCTAGTTATATTGGAGTTTCGAGCGTTCTCGGTATTCAGGCGAAAGCTTGGACAGGGGCAGTGAGCTGTCAAGAGGGATCATGGGGAATGCGTCCATTTTCGTTCCAGCCTTCTTGGTGTCAGCTCACACAATTCAGATTAATTCTTGCAGTTTTGCCGCTGGGCAGAAGCGGGCGGATTCTTTAGTTGGGTGTGTAAAGCAAGGTCACTACTTCAAAGCCTTCAACAGCATCCCACATCACAGCAGCGCTGGCGCGGGCACTTTTCTGCACAGCTATGCAGGGCGAACCTAGCACTGCATCCCAGACCCCCCCAAAGGATCCAAAAAAATGGAACCCCTAATCATCCCCTAGTTTCCACAATGTAGTAATGGGTGTCATTTTGGGGGGTTCCATTTTTGGGATCCGTTAGAGGGGCTGGGATGTTTTTACTTGAGGACAGCCTCGGCTTTCCAGAAGCAGCACAACCTAACCCCATTATATCAGTTTCCCATTTTCGTTTCCATTATTTACTATTATTACTACCAAGGTTTAGGGTTTAGGGCTTCAATATTATTACTGTTGTTAGTATTACGATGATTGGAAACATTATTACTATGGGGCACGACCTGGAATCGTTGCAACGTGCCATGAGACGAGGCTGCCTGACCTAAAACCTTTGGGCCCCCCCAACCAGTCACAGCAGTATACTACAAATAATGCACCATGATAATATTCTATAATGTACCAGAATATACTGTAACATATTATAATATATTATAGTATATATTTTTAATATATTATAATATATCATAATACATTCTAATACATTCTAATAGATTATAATCCATTATAATATGCTATACTTCACTTGAATATAGTACCTTTGCCAAGGTCTAGCCTTTATTTGCCTTTCGAGGTCTATTAGCTCTTATAAGTCGAAGATGTACGGCCCTGGGTCGCTGCTGCCCAGGCTTTCCACTGCGTGACTTCCGTGCTCCCTCAAAGCCTTTGTGCACATAGACACATACGCCATACAAATGCCTTAAACGCGTGAGCTATTCTGAAAGCTTCATGTCGGGGGATCAAGTAAACCAGGATGGTTAAACAGGACTTGGCACTCCTTCCAACCCGAAAAATGTTGCGGCAAGGTCCCCTCTACAAGCCCCAAAAGAGAGGATCCCCACCATGAGGAACCCCCAAAAAGGTGCCCTTAGGTGTGCGAAGTGGCCCTTCGGCCACCACCCCCTTGCCTTGCCATAAGCGGCACGCTGGACCAATCCCCCAGCCGCGAGCGCCGCGGCGAGGCGTAGGAAACCGGATGAGGACTGATCCTTCTGCTTTTCGTGGGGTTCGGCGGGGGGCAAGCTTGTAGCTCAAGCTCTGCCAACAAGGGCTGGCTATGACATGCTATGGCCTTGCCAAACACCTGTACTGTTTTGGGAAGCTCTGGCATTTAGACGGTAGTCGTCTGTGGCGCAGGCTAAGGCCATATGCTTTGCCAAGGACCAGAGCTGGATACAGCTATGGCTATGAGATGAAACGAATTGTCAAGTCAGAACTTAATGTTCTGTGAGGTGTAGGAGGATCCGCTCCATCCATAGGGACATACAGGGGGGCTGGCGGAATGAGATGGAAAAGAACATAGGACATGAATGGGAAACTTATTTTATTTCCGGCGGGTTTTACAGGATTGGTGGTTGGGGTCCGTGGTTTGAGGCTTCCTTCAACCTGGTTGTCGAGACTCATGGCGTTGCCCTCTGGTCTTCAAATACCGGCAACCTGTATGCCAGAAGTCTGGGCCTAGTAATTAGTAGTAGCAGTAGTAGTAGTAGCAGTAGTAGTAGTAGTAGTAGTAGTAGTAGTATATGGTGGTGGTGCTGCTGCTGCTGCTAG